CCTGTAACAACCGCATTCTGCTTCGGGCTGCGAGGTGAGGGGAAGTCAAACTCGAAAGCCATGGAAAGCTATCTTCGCGCTCTAATTTATCTGAATTTTCTCCTTTGGCCAATCGATAAAGAGTTGATGTAGCTTTTGAACGTAACTTTATCGAGCAAGACATGACAGACAGACTGACTGATTGCAGCAGTGAACACCGGGGGCATGGCCCCCGGCGCGAAGCGCCATTCGGGGGGCCTCACCCCAAAAAGACTGCCGAAACTCTGGTAGCCTGTGCGGGCCACAGCATGCGCAGGGCTAGAAGACTCTGCCACAATCGCACGCGACGAGCTTGTCCAAATGTCACGGAGCTTTACAGGATAAGTGTCTCGAAACCTGGGCTCGCTCAGTCGCAAATGCCGCAAACTTCCCGAATGAAATTCGATTACACTAAGACATTCGTCTAGTGTGTTGTGATCGTTGTGTTCCACTCTCGCCACCCAGGCATCATGACCCAGCAGGTCAGTGTCAGTGCTCTTGTTGGCGCTGCGGATAACCACCCTGAAAGTGGGGAGGGGGGAGAAGATGGGGGAGGAGATGGGGGAAGAAGGAGGTGATTTTTTCCCAACTCGACTCTTTCAAGAGCCCCAGGTTGGACACTGGTTTGTTTCTTGGCGCCAATTAGTTTGAGAAGCCATGAGTCGTCGCTGTCAATGTAACTAAGAGATTCAGTTTGATTGTCCGACAATTTCACAATGTTGATAAGCGGATATGTAAAAATGCGTATAGATCTAAAGGAGTTTCAGTGCGCGGGCGCACGGGCCGCCTTGCGGTTTCAACCAGCAAAAAATATAAAGAACGTTTTGATGTAGTCTTTGCGATTCCGAATTGAGCCAGCTCACCCTTTGTGTGTCATCTGAGTTGGTTGCACTTGCATGTTGCATCGCACAAGCAGCTGTGGTGGCGCCCTTTCAGATTCGCTTCAGCGGGTCGCCAGCATTCCATGAAACGTATTAAAATCCTAAGGAAAAATTGTTTTGTGCTGTCAAATGGAAGGCGGTACTAACGGTCAGCTCCAGGGTTGGAAACAATTTCCGGCTTGACTCCCGAAATTTCTTTCTGGTCAGAGCTTGCAATTGCAACGAGCAGAACACGAACTTCAACCTTTAGCTGTGTTAATTTCGCGTTCACCTAGTACTTGGGCTCGACGCAGATAAAGCAGAACCTGCGAGACGCTATGACGCCAGATGAGTGGAGGAAGCTTATGTGTGCTGCTGTTGCAGACGCTGGCCTGGGTTCTGTTGGGCTGGACGAAGATGACATAGATAAGCTCTGGGCAGCGAAGTACAACACCGCTGACCGTTTGCGGACTGCCAGACGGGAAGGGCTCGTCGACGCGCGTCTGGCGCCTGGCGTGGTGGATGCTATTATAGGTAAATCCTAAGCGCGATTCCTTCTCAACTCATACCTTGCCGAAGAGTCCGCGTTGCGTGTGCTCCGGCTACTATTGGTCGCTCTCAATTTGAAGACAAAACCAACTTAAGCAACCTGTGTGCGCACACATTGAACGGGGTTGGCCATTAGGCTGGTTGTTTTTTGGGGTACATCTGAGGCTGCGGCGCAGACCCTGCCAAATAGCGTGTCGGGAAAATATTTTGCATTAGGGATTGCTTCTGTCCTATACCTGGTATCGTAACCAAAACACGCATAACGAGGGCTTGCCGTGACGGTTGATCTGCTTCAATGATGAAGACACCTAAAGTCACAGCCGCTTTGGAACGGGCGTTATCTATTGTATGAAGCTAGCATTGGTGTCTTATCTCTCAACATGAATGACCTCTGAGCACACCTTCATCTCCAGCAGCCTACCGCCCTGAAAGCAGCAATCAGCAGCTCAATTAGGCATCGGTGAACTTGAGGAGCATGGTGTATTGTATGGTCCTCGGAACGTTTAGATCTCTTACTGTTGGCAAGCTGTATGGAACCTATGAACACGTTCCGTTGAACAAGTATTGATGTCAATGGTGCATCCCTATCGTTTCTCCTTAATGTGCAGCTGCGGCTACGGCTGGCTCTGGCGTTGTTGCTGGTGAGTGTGACATGATTTTGCTTTGCTTCAGTAAGTTGCCCATGCCTGCAGCGTGCTTGTGACATAAGGTTGGAGCAGCGTGGTCTGCACTTCCTGTTACAAGCAACTAAGAAATGCGGCTTCCCGCCACCATATGAAGGAACCAAATCACGATTCCATAAGTATGACAAATATCCCTTAAGGACAACAGTAGAGAGGTCTGACAGATGAACGTCTAATTCACTACACTCCCCCAAAAACAATCATTGGGTGTTTCTGGTGAAGCACCTGGCCGTGTTTATTGTGGCTTTGTAGGGTGACCGGCCGTACATCGCGGTAGCGGCTTGGTAGTGCGCAGTCTGCAGCATAGGAGCACCGGCGTGCGTGTGTATGTGGAAGTGTTACGTGGGTGGGTGGAAGTCAGCGGTGTGGATATGGACAGCTTGTTCAGACGGCTGGGTGCACATCACATTGCACCCCAGCACTCTCTACGACACAAGTCACACACAGATCATCTAAACTGGGGGTTCAGCAGTCCGTTGACAAGTCTTCACCAATAGTGCTACCTGATGCGGCTAAGATGTTAAGATATAGGCGAGTGGAACCGTGTAGGTAAAGCCAACCTTAACCGTTACCAACCTTAACCGTTACAGGTATCACAGAACAAGCTTTCAGTCAGAACATGATCTCCATTATACCAAACATCCCATCTTATCTGTCGTACAGCCGTTAGTGTTCTGGCCGGAATTCAACACTCCCCCTCGGACGGAACACTCGGGCGAATCCAACTCAACGAACACCCAGCCCTTCTTGAAACTGCACGAACTTCCCTTCCGGTAACGGCTTCGTGAGGATATCCGCTACCATGCTGGTAGTGGGACAGTACTCAAACTTCACCTGCCCCATAGATACCCTCTCACGCACAAAGTGATGGATTACATCGATGTGCTTCGCGCGTTCCGAAACAATCGGATTCTTTATCAGACTTAATGCTCCCTGGTTGTCACCCCAGATACGCATCACGTCGATCTCACACCCAAACTCGGGCAGAAGTTTCCTCAGCCAGAGCGCTTCGCGAGTAGCTAAGGACGCCGCCATATACTCCGCCTCCACAGTCGATGCTGCTACAGTCGGTTGCAACCGACTCTTCCAGCTGACGGCTCCACCACCAAGGATAAAGGCATATCCAGTTGTCGAACGGCGGTTGTCTCGGTCCACTGCCCAGTCCGCATCGGCATAACCCTCAATTGCCTTGCTGTCCCTGGCAAAACATAAACCGAAACTCGCAGTCCCCTTCAGATATCTCAGGATATCCTTAGCAGCCTCCCAGTGAGCCTTCGCCGGCTCAGACATATACCGCGCCAACTTAAACACAGCATGCGCGATATCAGGACGCGTGCACACCGCCAGATACATCAAACCACCAATTAACTCCCGGTAGCGCGTTGCATCCAACAATACCTGATCGATATCACTAGTGCGGCTCAAAACTAGACTTGGCGTCATAGGAACCGACTTAGGAACTGCATCCTCCATCCCGAACTTGGCCAACAATTCGGCCGTATATCGCTGCTGCGAGATTTTGACCTCGCCTAGCTCCTTGCTCCGATTGATCTCCATACCCAAAAAGAACGACACCTCCCCCAAATCACGGAGGTCAAACTCAGCCTTCAACTCTTGCTTTATACGGGCTATTTCCTCGCTTTTGTTGCTCACGACTAGCAAGTCGTCTACATGAGCGTATAGCCACACAACAAATGACTGTTCTTCCAGCGTAAAGAAGCTGGGATCCGCATCAGAAACCTTAAAACCAATGGCCTCGAGCGTTTCCCGCAACTTCTGGTGCCAAGCTCTGCCTGCCTGGCGTAAACCGTACAACGCTTTCCGCAACAGACACTTCATACCTGCGCCACCCGTTTCAAAACCAGGCGGTTGGTCACAATAAATAACCTCCTCCAGCGTCCCGTTGAGGAACGCAGTGCGCACGTCTAGGTGGTGTACCTCAAATCCTTCAGCCGCGGCCTTCGCCAAGAATGTACGCAACGTCACCTGATTGCTACCAGGCGCGAAAACCTCGTTGAAGTCAACTCCTTCCTTCTGTTTATAGCCCTTAGCTACCAACCGGGCTTTGTATCGTTCCACTTGTCCGTCTACACCCCGCTTCACATCATACACCCACTTCACCGGAATCGGTTTCACCCCAGGCGGCGGTACCTTCAGCTCCCACGTATCTAATGCGTGGATAGATCCGATTTCTTCAGCCATCGCCTCCTGCCATTTGTCCCGTTCCGGAGAGGCCATCGCCTCTTCGTAGGTGCTCGGGATTTTGACGTCCGATACATTAACAGCAAGGTTGAGTCGTTGGGGCGGATGACGGTCACGTTGGGGGTAACGATGTTGTGTAGAGGCAGCTGCACCAGCCTTATCCTCCCCCTCAGCTGCCTTACCGACAGCTTTAGGTTTCCCCTTAGTGGTCCCGCTGGTAGTCTTAGGCTTCCCTTTGGCGGAATCGGCTGCACCGCCGGTAGCCGTGGGTTCCTCCTCAGGTGCCTCAGGTGCTGCGCCAACTACCATAGGCTCCCCCTCATTCAACTCAGCTGAATCTCCAATCGCCGCGTTCCCCTGACTATCCTCTACGGCCTCACTCGGACTAAACTGCTCCCCCTGCCAGGGAGGGGCTACAGTCTTGCAACTACTGCTAGCCACATCGTCCTCATCATCAGTATCGCTTCCGCTGCCGCTGCTTTCGCTATCATCCGCAGGCAGCGTGCGGGACGTTGGTGTCTCCTCAAAAAGCACGCTCCTGCTCACTACGATACGCTTAGACCCGTCTAATAAAATCCGGTATCCTTTGCGCTCGTAGCCCACCAACACACCCTTCTGGCTCGTTGCATCGAGCTTATTGCGGTGCCTCCTCTCGACATGCACCCACGCAGTACACCCAAACACGCGCAAATCAGAGACATCTGGCTTCACACGGTGGAAAACTTCAAAGGGCGTTATCTGTTTGCCCGACACAGGCGAACAATTATACAGGGCACATGCAGTGGTAATAGCTTCGGCCCATAATTCATGCGGCAATCCTGAGTCTTGCAACATCGCGCGGGTCTTCTCCAGGAGTGTGCGGTTCAGCCTCTCAGCGCGGCCATTTTGCTCAGGAGTGTAAGGCACGGACGTGTCATGCTGGATCCCCTTACCCTTAAGGTACTGTCCTAGAGCCTTATTCAAATACTCCCCACCGCGATCCGACTGAACTGCTAGCAGCTTCTTGCCCGATTGGGTCTCTAACAGCTGCAATACTTCCTGGGCCGCTTCCGGAACTTCCCCCTTCGTCCCTACACAGCGCACCACTGCAAAACTCGAATGCTCATCCAGAAACGTGGCGACATACCTTGACCCGCCCATAGACGGAACAGGCATCTCACACACATCCATATGCACTCGCTGCAAAACACGGTTTGCTGCATTCCCAGACGGAGGAAAAGACGCGCGGGTATGCTTGGCCTTCACACACGGCTCACAGATACTCTTCTCCTTCACCTTCTCCCGGATTTCAGCCGCGCTCAGGCCCATACCAGTGACCATTTCATCAGACACGAGCTTCTCTAAATTACCGTACCCTATGTGTCCGAACCGACGATGCCAAAGTCCCGCAGATTCGGACAAGACCGCCAGGGTTTGAACGCACTCCCCCTGGCCCAACCGGGTCGCCTTTAGGTAGCAATGGGTGCCTACTCGCACACACGGGATTTGCTCCCCGTACTCCCACTCCAGGCTTGCGTACTTCCTCATCCGCGGAGAAAGCATTTTAGGGTGAACCGGGACTCGGCTGACAAGACGTTTCGGCTGCCTAACCACAGCAACCGGCCCACGAAAATCCAACGTGGTAACCCTTCAGACCTAGTTCGCCTACCGAAATCAGCTTGTGACCTAATCCCGGCGCATGATACACATTCTTTAGGGTAATCTTAATCTTGCCATTCTCTCCCTCTGCTTCTAGCAGGACGGTACCCACTCCAACCGTCTTGCAAATCGCACCCGCCACACCTTCTAGGACTATGCCGTCCGTGAGCGGTACATACTCGCTGAAGTCCGACCGGTCGTCCGTAACATGGACGGCCGCTGCCGAGTCCATTTTCCAAGCCAGCTTGGCGAGCGACTTCTCAGCTGTTGCCTGGATTTCCGCGGCTTCGGAGGTAGTGGAGGTGGTTAGGGCCATTACCAGCTGCTTGCTGCGTCGGTTGTTGCCCTTGTTGTTGCCCCTTGTGATGAGCGGGCACTGAGACTTGATATGCCCAAGAACGCCACATTTATGGCACTTATGGGTTGCATAGGGGTTGATGGAAACGTCAGGCCCGCCAGAGCTGGTACTCGCCCCGACGTTGAAATTTCCCTGGCCTTTACCAGCTCCACTACGGTAGTCGCCACCGAAGCCACGGTGGCCTACCCCACTGCTCCGGTTGCTAAACGCCAGGGCCTCGGCCTGGGCCCACTCTGCGTTGTTGTCACCTTGCATCCGCTCCGCCAGGAGCAGAGCGGACTTGATTTCCGAAAGCTTCATGTCGCTCGGCGGCTTGGCAGCAAAAAGCATCTGCTGCATTTGGAATTTCTTATGCAAACCACCCAAGATGGCCAGGGCGAATTGGCAGTCGTCGATCTTCGAGCCCACTGCAACCATTTGCTCACGCAGATCCTCTGCTTCCTCGAAGTAATCAACAACGGACTGGCCTGTGCGTTGCTTCAGGTTGCTAAATTTCTGCTTTATGAGCAAGATGTTCGCTCCGATCTCAGAGACGCATTCGGCGCGGATCGCATCCCACGCTGCGGCAGAGTCGGCTGCTTGATCGATCAGCCTGTGAAAACGGGGCACCGTGTATTTCACCAGCTGCGATTTTGCCTTCATGGACTTGTCGGCGACGGCGCTTGGCAGGTCTGCTGCCTCGTCCCACAAGTCCTTGCCGGCCAAACAGTAGTTCATGGCCGTCCGCCAGCGAAAATAGTTGGCGTAGCTATCTAAACGCTCTACATCATTATCCTTCCCCATACTTGTCCTATCTCTAAGCCAGAGAATTGCTAAGCCAGCAAGTTCGGACACAGTACTTAAGCAAAACGCTCGCTCGCTTGCCGCGGCGGCGCAGGGCTCATAACCTGTTAAGATATAGGCGAGTGGAACTGTGTAGGTAAAGCCAACCTTAACCGTTACAGGTATCACAGAACAAGCTTTCAGTCAGAACATCATCTCCATTATACCAAACATCCCATCTTATCTGTCGTACAGCCGTTAGTGTTCTGGCCGGAATTCAACAATGGATGTACATGTGACAGGTTCTCATGAGCCTGCAACCTAGTTGCCGGCCCTCTCAGCAGCCGAGCTAGCTAGCAAAGTCATTATTTTGTTTGCTCTCATACCATAGAAAGTTCCCGTTTTTCATCATTTTGCTGCTTTCTTCCTGCATCATCACGAGCTGTCCATTATGCTGGTCTTCGTCTTTTTGTTTGTCTATTTTATTTCTTTGTTTTTGTTTTAAGATCATATTTAGGAAGAAGTCATTACATTAACATTTAGTTATAGAGTAATGTTTTGTTAACATCTCAAAAGTATATTAGCTGCTTGGAAATTTATTTTAAATAGACTAATTAAGTTTGCTCCAATCCTTCCCTATGGCATAAAACAAGGGGTAACCCCCCCATAAAACAAGGCATAACCCAGGGTGTAGGGGTAGGGGTTACCCATGTGGCTATGTATGGAGGTGGGTAACCTAACCCCGGGGTAGGGGTAACCCCTTACCGAGAGGTAACAAAGGGGTCAGGGTAATACACTACTGATGGGTAACAGACCCATGTTTACATTCACCTGCGCCTGTGTCGCCTGTTTACACTCACAAACGCACATGTCTTCACCAATCACTTTGTGAATGCCCAATTATCGACATTGCCGCACCAAAACATGCCTTGTTCAGAAACCTAAACCTAAGGATAAGGCACACAGCTGCAGCTTAGATGCAAGGAGGCAGACAGACAGGCTTACATAGGCAGAGCAAATTGGGGACCACGAGAAGCCGCCAGCGAAGCCAATAAATATCCCTATCAAAGGATCCAAAATATTCCTATCAAAAGATCCATGCACCTACCTAAGACTCATGGACCAGCTCATGACCTAAGACTCACTGGTCAGCCAACGGGCAGCAATGTAAAGTCGGCCAGTAGGTTAAGTCCCCCGTCCCGACCTGCTAATTCCAGCTCTACGCATGACCTATGCAACATCCAGAGTCTGCTCGTTTTCGGAGCAGGCTCTTAGGAGAGCCTCTCCTAAGAGTGTTGAGGGTCTTGGGTGGGAAATCCGGATGTTTGACCCTGGACATGGTCACACCCGGCAAAGTGTGTGAGGCGGTAAAAATCCTCGGATGTCACTGGATATCTTGCTAAATGAGGTCCACCATAAGTGTGGGCCTGTGCTGCAGAAAGACAGTCAACAGTCATGTTGTGGTGGTCCACGCACACAAACGCTAGGACGCCACCATTTTTGCCGCCATACGCACCAGTATTGCAAAGTGGATTGTATGTGTCCATTGTATGTATGTTCAATTGGAATATGATTGACTGAATTGTTGATAGTGGTCATCGCTTATTTTAGCATGTCCATCTAATTAAAAGACCAGCCAAGAGTGTGCATTATATGAGCTTACAAGCTAATTAGCTGTGATTAAGCTTGTTTGTGTGTCTGGTGCCCTCGCTCATATTCTGGTGGCCTCACTCATATTCCCTGCCATGTACGAGTCGTGACTGTGAGAACATTTCCGCATACACCATAGCCTGCATGGTGCAGTGGGGCAGGGGACTGGTACAAGGGGGCCCTTGTTTGCAGGTGCTGGGATATCATCTATGATGTAGCCTCCACAGCTGGATGGACAAAGTGCTCACAATAGATGCATCCGTATTATTTATGTGCCCAAGCCTAACACATACCCTATGGCATCCTATTTCACAATTTATTGATCTCTTGGTGGTACACCAAGAACAGTTTTTGATGCACTTGTGCCCTCATACATTACTGATTTCGTGGATGACAGGCGATCCCAAGATGGAGCAGTTCATTGAGGAGACCAAGAGGACAGGTAGCACACACCTTAGGCTGTGTAGTAGTCAATTAGGTTCTAGTAATGGCCATGCCTGGTGTGGGTGTTTGTGGGGCTTTATTAGTGGGTGCTGTGAAACGTAACCTCAATAGCTGGGTGGATAAGGTGCTCACAATAGATGTATCCGCATGTTTTATGCTCCTTGCTCTGATACCTGTCCAGCCCATGATTGCTACACCAAGAACAGTATTCATTTCACTTGTGCCTTCCTACATGGCTGATCGTGTGCATTACAGGCCAGCAGATCCTCAATGTGACGACGAAGACAGCTGATGTCACGGCGAAGACAGCTGCAGCAGTGGACATCCTGGCAAAGCTGCAGCGCACACAGTTCCGATACACTGCGAGCAAGGCGTCAACCTCCCGGAAGGGTGACGACTTCAAGAAGAAGCTGGAGAAGTTCTATGAGAACACTCCAGATGAGGAGATGAAGCTGCGCTGCATGCTGTTGGATATCAAGCTGCCCAAGACCCTGGTTACCGGTAAGGCTTGCACCCTGTCACCCTGTGGAGTAGACATGCATCTGTGACTACCCTAAACAACACGGGTGCATTCTTTTCCAGGTGCGCACCTCTTCAAGTATTGCTGGTGAGTCGACTGGGGAGATACTTTTTATGTTTAGGCCATGCTGTGGCTGCTCTTGCACTTGCAGGGAAGGGTGAATTAGTATGTGTTTTTTTGTTGTTACATGGTCGTGGGTGTGCTCCCCCTACCTGCAAACCACCCTAATACGAGCTGAGGGCTCAAGGGCTGCCAGATCGCCTATAAGCACCATCCTACCTCGCACTTCCAACGAAACAAGTGATGAAGGATACTAAATGACCAAAGGGAACGATAGAGTTGCGGTGGGACCATATAGGTTCCAGCATCCTTGCCAGGCGTTTAGGTTCCCACTTCATAGCATCCTTCATATGCTCGAAGCGTGGGAAACCCATATCAGATCTGATTTTGTTGTACATCAGACAGTCCAGCAAAATGTGCTTCTCATCCTTGATATGGCTATCAGTGCCGCAGCAAGGGCATACTCGCTCCTCCCTAGGTATATAACTGTGTCCCTTACACGCTCTTTTAGCCGCCAATGCCCAACATCAAAGCCTAAACTGCATAAGCTTGAGATTCGCTGAGCACGGGATAAACATTGTGATATGCGGGAGCACCTCCTTCCTGCCCGCTTGTCCGGGCGCCAGACCCATCCAATGCTTATACTTCGCCATGTGAATTCCTGGTTGCTTGCCGTCTGATGGGTACACATCTGGCTGGAGTATGTGTTTATCTTTTAACTTTCTCTTTTTTCATTTTCTCCACCAGGCATGGACACATTAACACGTTGCTGGGTCTCAAGCCTCGTGAGATCAATAACCCACGCAACGGATTACTGCTGTTCAAGCCACTTGAGTATGCATACGACGATTCCCGATTCGCCATCAATTGCAAAGATGGCGATGATGGGCCCGTGTTTTTTATGGTGCTGCTCGACACGGGGCTTAAACACGTCAAGGTGTGAATTTAGTGTATTAAAAATTACTTGAAGTAGCTTACCCTCTTGAAGTAGCTCACTCTTGGTTTTGAGGCAGGGGAGATGCCCCTAGGATTTATGTGCATAATGAGTAGCTTGCTCCTGTAGCACTAACCTGGTTGTGAATGGGAGGGGATTGTGACAAAGTGAAGGTCTCACTGCCAGCAGCCCTGAGGAGGACTGCATGAGAAGCAACAACAGCAGTTGTATCTATCAAAGTAAACCATCACTCTGATGCATGTGTATCTACACTGTTTCTTCTAGGATATAAATCCTCTGGCTTTGTGTTTGTATCTGTTCTTGTATTATCTATCCAGGTGTGGGACTTCGCTGTGCACCACAACCTCACCAAAGGCTACAGTGTAGAGCAGCTCGACCCGAAGGTGTCAACGATCACGTTTGGTGACCTTGACGGCACGGAGCTGGTGCTGAGCAACAAGCATCATCACCCTTACAAGCGGTCCCTTGCCTTCCAGGCCATGATGGCCACGGAGCGGGCAGTGGAGGAGGAATGGCAGCCAGCCAACAGGCCACCGATGGAGATTCTCAGTTGCATATCCTTAGAGGCGAAGGTGAACTTCGATGCATGGCTCGAAATGGCTGCACATGCGCCACCTCCGATGGCTACGGAGAGCCTTGATGATGATGACGAGTAATGGTGCAGGTGAGGGTCCACAGCTATGTGCATTCTTGTGGCCAGATGGATTAGTGCATTACAGATCCAGTATTTAGGATTGTGTGTTTGTGTGTGTTACACCTTCTGGAGTTGCATTACCCTCCTCAGGTGTAATGGGCTCACATGAGGGGCCATAGAGCCAATCAAAGACAGATTAAATTATGTAGATGTCATAAATGTACAGGAAAACTCCTATCCTATTAAAAACTACTATCCTATCATGTGAAGAGGTTACCATCTTCAGCTGGCCATCCACCACTACCATATATGTGATGACTGTGGTTCTGGATCCGGAGCTGGGTGGCTTATTTTTGGACATGGATATGTCTTTTGACTTTACATGTTATTTGTGGGCCATGAATTGCTGTTCAACTACTGTTGAGAGTCCATGGTTTGGAGCAGGGCAGCTTGTTTTTGGATGTGGATGTGTTTGTGGGTTGTACATCATGACAGCACTATGGGCAAGGTTGGCATTGATTTTTGCAACATTTTTGTTTGTGGGCTGTTTGTGGGCTGTTCATTGCTTGGTGCATAGTCAGTGTATTGCTTACCCGCATCCCACCTTGTAGGACTGTGAATGTTGGATCAGATTGATGGCTTTACATATCCCGTGCTTTCTGGCTGTCTTTGAAGTATTACCTAGGCTTGGTCCATCATGTGTTTAGAGCATCAGCAAAATTCTACACTTGACAGTCAGACATAGTAGGGGCAATTAAGTAGTTTGAGAAGGCAGTGCATTGCATCCATAGTGCAATGCATCTTTGAAGCTCAAAAGTGAGGTATACAGAGTGCATACTATGTGTGATTGAGTGACATGACTAGTTGACTTAGGTGCAACTGAGCAAAGCAATCAGAGCCTCTTTAAGTCTGGTTCTGTGTGACTGTCCCACAAGTGTGATCTAGTGGCAAGCTTAATGTGCTTCTGCTCTCTTGTTTCAGGCATTTTGCCTTTCACTCAGTAGAGCTTCAGCTTCTATAGCTGCTAATTCCCTACCTGCCCTCCTGTTTCAGCTCTGCAGATTCCCCCAAACCCAGCTCGGCCAACAGTAGGCCACCCACAGGAGCTGGCTGACATCTGGGTGCTGTGGCGCCCAGAGCATGGGTTGCTTTCAAGACTTAGGGAGGAGAAGGGGTGCTGGCGGTTGGGCAGGCTCCAAGTGTGGCTGAGGAGGTTTAAGTGTCATGGTCTCGGTCTTGGGTGGTTAGGCTAGGCTGTGTCTCCAACCTGTAGTAAGGTTGCTGCAGTACTCCTTTTTTGGTAGCGGCTTGGGCATATGGCCCTTCCTGCTCTTCCTTTTTTTGTGTGAGTGTGGGTGGTGAGTGTTCAGCTGGCTTTTCCTGCTAGGTGGCCCCGAATGCAGGTTGCATTGCAGGCCCTTTTTGGGTATGACTGCGCAGTTTTGTTAGCAGGCAGTGTGGAGGCGCCCGGCTGGTGTGCAGCTTGGCTGCAGTGTAAGGGTTCTCGGCAGCTGTTCCCTGCCCCTTGGTCCCTGCCCTTTCATAGTGTTGTATGACGACTTTTTCAGATAAGAATCGAACCGTGGATGCAAATCCCATGATATACCCAGGATATTAGTAGGGTATCCTCGACCGTTTATCTATCTCAGGGTGCCTGTGGGATGACAGCATCCACATGATAACCAGCAGTCATACCTGCTAGATACCAATTCATTATACAGCAAGCCATGAAGGCTATAGGACATAACTCGACTTTTTCAGGAAAAAACTGATCGGTGAATGCTCATTCCACCCAGCATACTACACTTACCACCAGGGGTCGGCAAACGCCGCTGGTAAAGCGGGTCCTTCCGTTGTACCCGTTGCAGAAATTCAACTCTATTCTTCATCGCTGGTACGGCAGCCGTACGGCAGGGTGCAGAAATTCCCCCCAAAAGGCAGGTTTGCGCAGTTTTGAAGCTATAAACTTCATCATTAGGTTACCAAACCTTCCATTTTACAAGGAGGTAAACGCTAGCTTTGAGAGGTTCTCATACCGAACAGTCAATTGACGACCTTTCCTCGGCTTTTACCAAAAACATTTCCATACAGTTATTCGACCCTGGCACCAGTACCCGTGACAGTTATTCAGGGTTTGCCGACCTCTGCTTACCACTTCCTTTCTAGATGCAGGTTAAGGGAGATAAGAGCACAGATTTAATCCCTATGCAGCTAGCTAGGTGCACGTGCAGCAAAGCAGCAATCCATGGTGAAGCCCTCTTCTTGACTCATGTACGATTCCTGCCCGCTTTAGGCATCATACGTCAGCAGCACAAGGCGTTATCCGTCCACAACTATTGCTTTATGGAAATACAAATATATGCCTTCCCCTTATTTCCCGTCATCGTGTCGCTTTTTTGTCGCTACTTTGACTTTACCCAGGCGAGCTCCTAACTTCGTTGAAGCCCTAAAACTAGGGTTGCATGGATTGTTAGAATGGCATCAGTTCTAATCTAATTATAATATTATTTCTAAGTAGAAGTTCGGAACAATATTAGAAGGAAGGTGACAACTAGGGGTAAACGAAGTACTTTGAGGCTGAAACTTCCGCTATATGACCTCTCATCCTTTCGCAGACGTTTCCAGATTATCTTGTCAGTTGGGCGATTCCTTGGGGGGGCTGCCAGCCGAACCCAGGGGTGCCCCGACCCGAATCGGGCTCCAGCACGCTTGTCACGAACACAACATGCACGCAAATACCACCAAAGCCAGCAATAATAAACTGACTTCTGGACCCTTGAGTACATCGCCTGGACACTGGGAAATAGAGAGGATCAGGGCCCAACGCACAGCCACACCACCAGAACTCCAAACCACCCGCTCACTCCTGCACCTCTAGCCCCTCAATCAGCTTCATCATAACCTCATCATCATGCACACCGCGTTCCTCTTAGCTTTGGCGCTTTTCAGTGCCTCACAATAGGCCGCCGCATCCAGCTCGCTCTTGCCATACGTGTAAGTATCCTTCTTTGCTGTTTGCTTAGACGGCCCGGCACCGGAGTCGGTCATTTTTGGGGGACTAAACGAGTCAAGGCTGTCGTTTCGCTTCAAATGTGTGTTGGTTTCCGGGCATTCTAATAGTACAACATTAGAACGTTCTAACCCATTCTAGGCCTGCTCTTCCAAAATTCTAATTAGAAATTATATATTATAATTAGTTCTAATTATTTCTAACATTCTAATAGTGCTGCAGCCCTACCTAAAACCCTAAACCCTAAAACACCCAAATGCCCGACCAGCCACACGCTGCCATCTTGCATCTCAGTTGTGGTGCACCATCTACCGACCTACCTACCTTCCCAGATATTTAGGTACCTACCTAGCTGTCTATCTACCTGCTGCCTTCACACATCCAATCCGGATAAACGATGGCAGCCTGATGCCTTGTGCACAGGCGAAGCTCCCATTACACCCCCCTGTCCGCCAGAAACACGTAACTAAATGTAGGCGCCCATCAGTCGAGGTGTAACCCCGAGCTGCTAGGGCACAGCAACCACTCGAAATGGCCAGAGGGGCGCAAAAGCTATCGCAACAAGAAGCGCAACCAGAAGCGCAAGCACCAGCAAAGCCAAATGCAGGGGGTTGAACCCCTCCCCAAAACTGTCCATGACGTCTGCAGTACGAACGCGAATCGCCATCACGAGCAAGACACAGCCTGCCTGCCCCTCTTTGTATGGTGTTTACGTATCTACACCTTCTCCGTACAGTCCCCCCTCCTATTCCCCTCTAACCCCCAACCAGCAACCGCCTAGACAACAGAATGGAAGGTAGCCACGGCTCTAGCTACGCGTGCAACACCACATACAATGTAAGACGTACTGTACTACAAAACAGCACAGAGGCGCCGCGTCCGAGAAAGAAAGAAAGAAAAGCAAGCAAGAGCCGTGCGACCGGGACTGAATACAACGTTTTAACCGATACACGGAACGCTTGTGAACAAATTCTGAAACAAGTCCAAAGGACGGCGGCAGAAAGGAAAGGCAGAGGGGATGCAATCACTGGGGTACTGCTCAATTGGTCATTGGTCACCGGACGGGCTGCTGAAGGATTGAGCAGCGGCCTTCTGCCTTCTGGTGATACGAGCCGGGGAGTCAGGCCCCGGAGGCGCCAGGCGCCTGCGCCAGTGTGTAGAATCGATATACCATACTGGACGTCAACCGCCGGGCCGTGAACTCTCTACCTACTCGTTTCACACCAGCAACCCCACAGTTGGAAATATTTCATCTTCTCGCCTTCTTCGTCCTCCTGCTATGGCTCATTCTTTTCTGGCATAAAAACACGCACACAACACACGCACTTCCACACAGAACGTATTGAGGTTCAAAGCAGGGCCGTTAAAGCCCAGAGTTACAAATCCAGCAGCACTGCAGACCCCAGCACGTGAATAACCCCGCGCTGCTACACATATCATCATGACGCTCATGCGCCATTCGGCTGGCGGCAGCCAAGTATTCATGCCGTGAACCCTGCTACTGCCCCTCACACACACCAACCCCCAAGCCACCCGCTGCTGTGTTACCACACGCCTCAATGTGGAAACCTCCCTGCACTCGACCTACCTACCAACGTATTTCCACCACCCCTACTCCCCATGCCTGCGCACACATACACGCGAAGCAGTAACATAACACAAGCAGTAAACACAAAGCAAGGATGCTACGTGGAATGCGCCGCCACATGATCCGACGTCCAAACCCTGCTATCCTGTCGGGTGGTGACAGTTCCCCCTAGGCAGCGAGTCCGGCGCTGAAGGAGGTGCCGGCTCACCCGAAAATACCTGTCTTGGCCTATTGTGCGAAGACAACAATAAGCGTAACAAGGTAAGGTAACATATTGGCCACGGAATGCAGTAAGGACCGAAAACCGGAAATCTTTTAATTGCACCGGTGTATAGCCGCCGTTGCAACGCGACCAGGGACCCTCACGACCTGCCAGACGACCCGCCACCAGACTGCGCACGCTGGTGAGAGGGATAGTACGGCTGCGCCGCTGCAGCGGCAGCAGTCGTCGCCAGGGCGGTAGCAGTCGCTGGGTATAATGGCCCTCCGCCGCCGCCACCGCCATCGCCACCAACACCAACACCAACACCGCCAGCCGAGCCGCTTCCCCCCGAACCAAATTGCTGCAAGGCAAACACGGGTGACTCTGGGCACGGCTGCGAGGGCGGCCTCGATACGCCTGCATGGCTTGAGCCGCCGCTGGCCGTGCGGCTGCTGTTCCGAGAGTGGTCGCGTCACTGCGGCATTGCAGGGGACCCCGCCACCCCCATAGTCCCCACAGGTGGCGGCGGCGGCAACACCATCATGGCCTGGCTGTCGTAGTTCAGCTCAGTCCAAGTCATATCGAAATCGCCGCCGCCGCCGGCGCCACCACCGCCACCGCCGCCGCCAGCTATTGCTGACGCGACAGAACGCCACATGGCCCCCGCTGAACCCGTCACAAGGTCGCCCCCGCAAGCGGCACCAGAGGCTGCACCCCCGTGAAGGGGGCTGTTACTGACTGGGACGGAGAAGTACATGCTACTGCTCCCCGACGCCGCGGTGCTGCCGGCGCTCGTCCCTTGTGTGTCGGTGCTAATGCCGCGGGTGTGCATTGTGGCCGGGGGAACTGTGCCGTGTGAACCAGGAGCTAGCGGCGGCAACCCCGGCGGTGATGATGATGGTGCTACAGGTGCCTGGATATTCATCAGAAATGGTGATGCGCACCTATTTTCATCAAGTAATAGTCAAGGCAGGAAGGAAAAGGCATAAAAGGATGCATTCCGGGTATGTAGTACTGAATCCGCAAATCCTAAGTCCCGGCCAGTCCTCCCTTCAGCCATCTACTTCAGCCTCTTGGCCTCTCCCGACCTCTCGGCCAGAAGCACTGTCGTCAGACAGACAGACAGACAGACAGACAGACACACGCAGCCACTGGTCGCCTGCACGCACCTTGTTCCCCATGTCGAAGGTCAGCTCGTACATCGCCACCAGTGTCGCCCTGTGCATGTTCCACCAGGCCTGGCCTTGAGACTGCTCCGTGAACATCTTGCGATTGAAGCGAACCTTGACCAGCCGAACCGGGCCGCCTTTTTGTGCCGGTGGCTTCAACGTGATGTAGACGCCCTATTCAGCAGTTCGTCAGCAGTTCGCCATGCATGTGGTGGTATGGGGTAAGTGGATGGGGTATGT